AAGAAAGTACAGGGAATTCACCCACATAGTCATTGGATCCCACAGCCCTTAGCCAGTCTTCCTTCTACTCTCCAGTGTCCAGTCTTCTTGTTTGTTTTCTGTATAACATCCAGAGTTTAGTTAGACTTAGCAGAAAAAATAGGGAAAAGGATCTCAATTCCATCTTTCTACAAGCAAAAGTGCAACACTTGTAATCTGACTATCAATTTAGGCAATATTTTTGCCACACTGTTTATTTAAATAAAGGATAAGGTCCTACGAATACAGCTCAACCCAATGTTCCCTCAATGAGCAAATACCCAAATATTGATGCTTCTGTGTTCTCAATAAGGTCAGTTTACCCATATATCATCATAGAAAATATTATTTAGGAAACTTAAAAAATAAGTATTTGTTTTGTACTTGTTTTTTAAGGTTCTCTCAACATCTACTCAATTGAACAATCTCCACAAATGTTCTCAAAAATATTTTCGCTAAAATTATATTTTTCCAATGGCAAGTCCACCTAAGAATTCTGACTGGCAAGCTTAGGATAAGTTCAGGAGCTACCTTGATTACAAAATACTTAAACACTTGATGTAATAAATAGTCATTAGTTTACAAAGTATGTGGCGTCTCATAACAATGACTTCTAAAGCATCCTGTTGAACTTGTTTTTCAAGGAGTGACAATGAATTTGAGCAATCCAGCCATACCATCTTCATGGGTTGACCTTGAAAACACCACACACACACCCACATGCAGGATGAGTCTGGCTACACACAACCCAGTAGAGTTAACTAGACATGAAGGGATCACATCTTGGTATTATTACTCAGATGGTTAAGTCAGCATCTTCCTTGCAGCAAACCCCCTTTTATTTAACTCTTTTTTAAACCCACAGGAAGTTACAAAAATAGTAGAGTCCCATGTACCCTTCACTCAGCTTCTCCCAATGATGATATCTTATATAGCTATAGCACAATATCAAAACCAGGAAACTGCCCCTAGTACTTTACTGTTTACTAGACTACAGACTCCTTTATCCTTTTTTTTTTTTTTAACGTTTATTTATTTGGGGGAGAGAGACAGAGTGTGAGTGGGGTAGGGGCAAAGAGAGAGGGAGACAGAGAATCCAAAGCCAGCTCTGTGCTGACAGTGGAGAGCCCAATATGCGGCTCAAACTCACAAACCTACAAGATCATGACCTGAGCCGAGGTCAGAAGCTTAACTGACTGAGCCACCGAGGTGCCCCTCCTTTATCCTTTTAATTGTTAAGTTACACAATAGTGAACTTTCTCAGAAACGTTCCCTACACTTGGGCATTCTAGTACTAAATGACCAATCCAGACTTCTAACTCAACTGCAAATTAGCTATACATAAGCAATTCTTATACCTACATACCTCATGCACAGAAACACAAAAGTTTGCACCCACACGTGCACAAATTTATGTGAAAACACCAGCAATCCATCCTTTTCATCCAAGTATTAGTTTTCTACTAATTTCTACTTTCCCTTGCTATTACTACATGAAGACTATGTGTAAGTGAATCTGAGGGCTAAAAGAAATCTTCATCTAATGTAAAACTCCCTCCAGTGCTTGAATTCCTTCTACAACATCCCCACCAATGACTCTTCAGCCTTTGCTTGAATCTCTCTAATGACATGAAACAAATAAGTATGATGAAATCCAGTCAGACTTTGGTCAATCCTAATTCTTAAAAGGCATCTTTAAGCATTAGCTAAACTTTGAAAACTTGTACTCATTTAGTTCTGGTTGTATCCCATGGGCATATTAACAAGTCTTATCCTTGACTACCTTCTTTCCAGGAAAACCAGACATCCTGGTTTGCCTAAGGTGATCTTAGTTTGCACCTCTTGATCTGGCATAATTAATACTTCCTTTCACCCTTAAGATTTGAACAAACAGTATTTCATCATGCTATCCTGGATAGCCCTCCAAAGAAAGGAAGAACACATGTGTTTTTATCAGGTTAACCATACCTCATTTTTTTAGCTATTCTTTGTATGATTTTGAGGGTCTTCACTAGCCTGATTATTCTTGCTCTTCAATGTTCACAAGCTTATTTATATTGCAAGATCCCTAATGCTTAAATTCCTTGTTGTACATATATATTAATGATGGATTTTGTAAGCCCAATTAAAGAACAGAAAATCATTTATTTCCCTTTGAATACCAGACCAAGATAACACCTATGGGGCAATGGAACTAGGGAGCAGTCTCACATTATACCAGTAGGTGTCACTCTATATATGATGTATTTAAAATTATTTAAGGTTCAATTTATTCCTTCAACAAATATTTAGTAAACACCCATTAGGTGCCAAGCATGATTCTAGGCACTGAGAACATAAAGAGCAAGACAGACAAGATCTTGTTCTAGTGGAGCTTATGGTCTAGATACGGATGAACAAATTTACTTTATTTACTTCCTATATAAAAGTCTATAAAATCCTATTCTCAAGGGAAATTTTACTTTCCTAAGTTAATAGACAACAACACTCAAAATAACTCATAAAGAACAAATACTGTAATGAAATAGAATCAGACAAACTGTAGTCTGTACAGGCTAGATTAATGTATCCTGTGTATTTTCTAGCCATTTCAATTTATTCAACACTGTTCTTCCAATCTTCCAGTTTCTAAAAGCCAAATGGAAAAGAACTTATCTTCAAAAAAATTCAAACTTTCTGGGGTGTCTGGGTGGCTCAGTTGGTTAAGCATCCAACTCTTGGTTTTGGCTCAGGTCATGAACTCACGGTTCGTGAGTTCGAGTCCTGCATAGGGCTCTGCACTCTGGGGGCAAAGCATGCTTCAGATCATCTATCTCCCTCTCTCTCTGCCCCTCTCTCGCTCTCTCTCTCTCTCAAAAATAAACATTTTTTAAAAATTCAAATTTTTAAAAATCTATTCATGTTTTTATGAAGACTTATAAATTTTAAAAGATTATTTGCAAAGCTTATTAATTCCCAAATACATATTTAGTTATCTCTACTTTGAAAAGTTAAATGTCACCTTCTCAACACCAAACATACTCTCCGGGCTAACAGAATAAAGACAGTAGCAAATTATGCATCAGCACAGAATTCTGGAATTCCTCCTCTGCTGAAGGTGCTTGTTTAGATAAACCTATGAGACTCATAGCTATTAGCAGGATTTCGAGGTGACTCACTGATGATTAGAGCATAGCAATGAAAGGTCATATTTTATCAAAACAAGCAGATCAAAGGGAGGGGACAGACATTGCACATCAAAAAAGTATATTTGCTTGCACAGAAATCCAAGAACCTACGAACTATTCAGTTCTTATTTTGCTTCTCTGTACTCTCAAACAGATCATTCTCCAAACTGGAAAAGCTAGGGAGACACGGTTAAAGAAATATTTCAAGCTAAAAAGACCTACTGCTTAGAACTCTTTAAGTCATAATTCAGTTATATGAATTTATTTGAGAAAAACAATGCTTATAATAAGACTGAGAGGTTCAGGTAATATTGAACCCAATGTTCCCTTTGGAATAGCTCAAACCATTAGCTCCATCTAAATTACCTGAGACACACTGCATATTGTTCAGTTTTAGCAAGGAATCACATGCATACTTTAGCACACAAGAAGTACTCAACGAACATTAAGTTAAAAATGACC